AAACATGTAATTTGTACATGAACATTTTTTTTAAAAGACAGAAGTTCAGTAACAGTATTCCACTAAATGCCTACCCTCTATAATAAGTGTAGTTTGGGAATGTAAAGGATAAGTTTGTCAGGTTTGCTGTTGTTAATAGTATCTGATGAGAAATAAAACTCTGCACAACTCGATAACACAAAGTCTGTCCTAAGAGCTAAATGAATTCTACTTTAACTTGAATTCTGCAGAAACAGGAGAAAGCTGTGAAAGGGACCTCTGAATTATAAATTAATCATCTGTTCATTACCAAGTGACCCATATACTATTTCCCCCTACATATTTCTCCATAAACACCTTACCCCATAAAGCTACTTCATTGATACAGTACACGCAAAAACTTACATGCCTAATGTTGTACAGTTCAGTTTCAAACCATAAACTGCAACTTACCACCTTGAGGAAAAGTTTAATTCAGCCCCTGCATTCATGCAGACATCTCTCCTCAAAACGCCATGAAGAACTTTTTTTCACTTTACAGGTACAAACTAACTATGTCATATTCAATAAAACACATTCTGCTTCTAAACATGCAGTTTAGGTCCTATGCTACACTCTCATGACAATGTAGCAGAAGTTTTAACCTCTTGTACTAGAGAACAAATCTGGTGCAGTCCCATGGTCTCATCCAGCCCTGTATTTTATTATAATGCTTTAAAAATTGTATTTAAGAAAAGCAGCATTTGAACCAACTGCTGGAAAGCACAGCTCCCTAACTTACAACTAACCTAAATTTGAACTGATGTCCCACCAGTGAAGAAATGAAAGCCTTGCAAGCTCTTTTGATCTGTATGATGTTCTTTCCTGTGTTCATTATTCTGCAGAATGAAACAGAACTACAAATACCAGAGATGCTATCTCATCCTACAGGCAAGCTCATCTGAAGATTTGACTTTATTCATTTAGAGTTATATGAAGAGTCTGGCTGCTAGGGAGACGGTCAAAGCTATTGAAATCAAAAGATGTACCAAGTTGTCTGAAAGACAAAAACTACTGGGGTTATTTTGAAATGGATGAGAGTCTTTAATTTCAACCAGAGAAGATAAAATAAGTATTACTGTGCCTGCAATAAAGAGCTCTGTCATCACAAAGCATACGGAGAACATGGAAAATTGTAATTAAAAAAAGCTATGTTATTGTGTTGGCTGTGCATACACAGGCAGAGCTGAGTAGCGTGCCAAGAAGTTCCACTGTTAGAAACCAGTACCTTTACTGCCCATATTGAAAGAAGCACTCCATATACTTTCTTAGGACAAGCTATTTCAGTCAGTGGCCCCAAATCAAGTTAAATGCACTTTGGTGGCAGAATCTGAGACAAACGTTGGGGTTAGGACCTGTCTGTACCTAATGCTGGCGCAGGAGGGAAGGTGGGTGGAAGAAGGCAGGGCAGAGCTGCAGTGGAGGAGGAAATACCAGATGCAGTATGTGCTTGCTTTGACCTTTTGAACCACAACCTTAAAGTGAGAATCTTCAAGAGCCACCCGCTTCAACTCTTACACGGTCTGTATCAGGAGAACCAGAATTTATTTCTAAATAAGTAATTATGGGCAGACAGTAAAACTAAGCACTAGAAAAGAAACCCACACGGTTTTATGGGTTTGTACACGATTTACAGGAGAATTAAAATGCATAGATGCTATATCAAAACCCCCTTTCACAAGAGTCAGACATACAGACACCGTTGCTACCGAAAGCCTGCCATCATAAAGTAATTTCTGAAGCTCGTGGCGTTAAGCACCCCGGGCTTTGTCACATCCTGCTCGAGGAACCGCACTGCTCGGGGCAGGAGCCGACAGCACGGCCGCGATCCGGCTCGGCTCCCGGTAAGGGGCTCCCTCCTCCTCCGGCCGGTTTGCCGCGGCGGGCGGGCACCGGCTTCACCTACCGAAATTTGATCTTTGTTCTACGTCCTGCTCCCGGCGCAAGCGGAAACGCAGGTGCAGGGCGCAGGGGCTGAGGCTGCCCGCACGGCCCCCGAGGCGGGGGGCTCCGGCACTGCCCGGCAGCGCGGCCGCGACCCCCGGCAGCGGCACCGGGCGGGGGCAGAAAACGGGAACGCGACGGAGAACAAGGAAGGGCCGATATATCCCGATCCACACCCCTTCTCCCGCTGCTCCGTCTCTCCCCTCCGCTCCTTCGCTTCCCGACCGCCCCACAGACCTTACGGAACGGGGACAGGGTTCCCTATCCCCCACGACCCGGGACGGGGCAACTCCCCCCGCCTGGAGCCCGCACCCCCCACACCGGCCTCCCCTCCCCCATCGCCAGCGGGAAGCGGCCGTGAAGGAGCGGGCGGGCCTGGCGGCGGCCGCGGCACCACCAACTGCAGCGCCAGGGCTGCGGCGGGCCGCTGTCGACCCTTACCCATGAGAATGCGCATCTGCTTCTTGCCGAAGAGGCGTGAGAAGAGCGAGGAGATGGTGAGGCCCATGGCGGCTCCGGCTCAGGGCTGGGCGGCGGCACAGGCAGCGGGAGGGAGGGAAGGAGGGAGCGCGGCCCGGCTCCCGTCTGCACTCGCGGATCCCTCCGCGGGCGAGGAGGCTGCGGCGGCGCCGACTGATAGAGCGCAACGGCCACAACGGCAACAGCGGCAGCCGCGGCGCTGTGACCGGGAGCCTCGCTCGCTCTCTGCCACGTCACGCTGTCCACGGCCGCCCCGGCTCCAACGCGGACAGACTCACGTCACGCTCGCCACATCCCCCGGCCGCGGAACCGCCCCTCGCCACACGGCAGCGGCACCCAACGGCGGCGGGGACTGCAGCTCCCGGCAGGCCCCGCGTCCCGCTCGCGCAGCGCTGCCGCCAGCGCACGCCGGGGGATGTAGTCCAGCTCTTCGGCCCCGCCCCGCCGCGGGGCCCGGCCGCCACAGGCAAGGCGCAGCGCGGCGGGACGGGAAGTGTGGTGCAGCGGGAGCCCGGCAGCTCCGAGGGCCGAGGCCCAGCGCCGCCCCGCTCCCCCTAAGCCCAGTGCAGCTTCTGGTCCCGCGGCGCTTCGGCTGAGGCAGGGCGGCCGGCAGCTCTGGTGCCGCAGGGCCGGGGGCCAGCTGAGAGCACGAGGGAAACAGGGGGTTCAGAGTAAAACGACTCCTCAAGAGACCCGCCCAAATACAGCGTAGTAGCAACAGAACCGGGTGATTAAAGAATCAAACCACCCCACCCCCCGAAGCTCTAACACAGGAACACCGATCACCACGGGATCTTCTGCTCACATTGTTGCTGTGCTCTGCAGCATCAAGGCCAACACGGCTCCTGGGCCAGGAAGCAGCAGGCAGATAGAGGGAAGTAATGCAGGAATACAACTGAAACAAGCCCTGGTTTATTAGAAACACACTATTTCTGGAAAGGAGTGTTTGATTTCATAACCAGCTGTAACAGCTCCTTTCACAGCTACTGAAAGAAGCCCATAGCACGGTGATAATTAAATCAAGGCAACATACGATGAGCTGCATTTAATGCTTAAGTGACTGAGCTCCCTCACCCCAGGGAGCATTCGTTCAATCAAAAGCCCTAAAACTCTTCAGTGCTCATTGCTCTTGTGTCCTGGCATAGTTCCCAAACATTTTTTCAAACAGAAGCTATTTATCCTCCATTAAAGAAAAACGTCTTTAATGGTCTTGATAAAGAGACAGTCCTGAATCAGCTAACATTAGGCTTCTGTGAGTGAGACTCTGGCTGTTCCTTTTGTATCTGTCATGTTCAAAGTTTAACCCAAGTTTTAGATTATGTTCTTCTGAACCAAAAAACTGTTTAAAATTAAAAGTTACATTTTAATAAAATATAACTTTCACATAAGTCATGTTTTAACTTAATCTAGGTTAGTGCCCAAGATGTTAGTATGATCCTGATCCACTATTACATACCAATTTCCTCATAGTCTTAAGAGGTCCAGTTCTACGTTTCCAATACTTAACGTGTTTTCTGTTCAGAGCACTCAGTATTTATACCTTTTTTGGCCAGTAAAGTTCAAGTTTCCTGAACTTAGATGAGATAAAGTGTACTACAAAGTATGTGAAGGACTCTTTTTGAAGTTACTTTCTAAGACCTCCAAGCTGGCATGTTCTCACTATAGCTAGGTCATGAATAGATACCTTCAATTATTTCCGTTGTTTGAGTACAATCTAACAAACATTTGCTTTTGGAGTATTCAACATGAACACAAGTAGTTGCTCTGTATAGTCATACGTAACTGTTATTCACAACATACTGTTGACTCCGATCAAGGATGTTGACACTGTTCAAGGACTAGCTGCACCTCTTCTATATTTTACTGAACTTCCTCTCATGTTTTGGTTCTTGGCATTATTTTTACATTGTTTAAAACAAATTTGCTATGTCCCAAAGCTTATGACAGTTTACTGTCCTGATACACTAAGTGAGGCAGTCCTAACTTCTGACAACCCACCTGGGGCCTTTCAGCATCCCTTTACTGAACAGCTGCTACCTCTTTTCTAGGATCCCTAGTATCATCTAGGTATTCTCTCTCACTTAGGGCCTTTATCCTGTCTTGGTCTAAACAACATGTACGTGTACATACATATAGATTCTACTGCTGTCTAAGCATCAAGTTCTTCAGGGATTTAAATGAATAACAACTCCATTAAAAGAAACCTGAATTAGGTTTTGCTTGCAGTATACTTCCCACTACAATGTTTCTCAAGAGCCTCTCAGATGTGTACAGGAAATAGACTGAAGAGAAGCTAATTCTGCTTGGAAACCAGTCCCTGCCATTTGCTTTCTTGAGGATCCTGCAGCTCTATCATACAACCATGATGCATGATCAAACTTCAAAACTACCCCATCACAACAGGTATTTCTGGTCAACAAAGGGGTAAACCTTCTTCAAGTTAAGCAAAACAGCAGCCTCTTACAAGGTGCTGAACAGCTTTGCTTACCCAGAAGAGGAGAAAATCAACCAACCAAACCCATCATCCAAGTCATGTAACTTCCAAAGGAAAAAAAAAATAAAAATCAAACCCTTTATTTTCTTTTACAAAAATACATATTTGCAGTCACGGGATGGTTATCAGAGTTACCAGTTTACATGGTTCCAAGAAACTACACAGTGTTCCAGGCTAAATATTTAACATAATTTAGTATAAGAATGGCCATTTAACTGATTTATGGATTAGAAAAGCTATTTATCAGGGTGTGCAAAATAAAATCTGCAATTAGAAATTAATGCTGAAGTGGTGTAGTTTAAGTAAAATAGTAAAAACATTAAACTTTTGGTCATGAGTAACGGTATACAAACCATAACAGTATTAAAATACATCATTTTCATAAAAATATCGCTGTGACAATTTATATCTAAGTAAGATATTTTTAGAAAGATGATATGAAATATTTATCATACAAAAGCATATTCTTATAGCAGGATTATGTCACAAGTTTGTAAAAATTCTATCCAAGCACTTAAAAGCCAAGTTGTTTGGTTTTTGTATAACTGTGATCCACTTGCCATATAAAGCATATGCTATGGGTACACCATAGCATTAACTTTATTCGTCTTGAAACTGGTCAAAGTACAACACTGCACGTGAAGCAGCTGAGTTTTCATGTACTAATGAAACTTTTCAAGAAGATGAACATCACATTCTTGTTGCTTAATACTCAAGAGAAAATTACTCTTTATGCACGTCTGCTATATGCATACACTGACAATTCCATGCTATGAACTTTTCATGCCACAATCTGACCTTTCCATAGGCTTTTTTTCAGCTGAAGCCATCATCTCCTCCCTCTAGCCCCATTACCTCTTCAAATGCCTTATGTAAAGAAAAAAAATAAAGAAATAACTGGAGCTGACAGCTATCATCTCCAACTGAAACACATTTTGTATCAGCTAACTCTATTGAAATCACTGATTTTAAAATCCATACTAGAACACCACTGTGTTTATTTCCTGTGATGAATACTGCATGCTTACATTTACGCTAGTGATCCACTTTAAATCCTGGATGTCAGCAGTTTAAAACCACCAATTAGTATACGATTACTTTATATTTAAGGCATGTGAGTAAGAGCACTCTGTGACTGTGAATGGAAGAGAATTCTCTTCAGGAAACGTCAGCTGCCTTCACTTCTTGAAAGATGCTAAATTAATATGTCTTTGGAAAGACAGTTAAGAAGGAGGAAGGAAGAAAGTTAAGAATGGATGTGATTATTTCAGCTGTCCCTGAAACAGTTTGGAGAGCCATGATTTACCAGTAAAATACCTCAATTATAATGTATTTTGACCAAGACACAAAATATGTCAGTTGGACTTATCACTACATGAAAACTGAAAGACAAAAGGAAGAAAAAAAGTAATCAGATACTACATCAACAGGACAGTACAGGATCAATATTGCTTACCCCTGAGTTAACAGGATTGGGTATAGCAGCACCAATTGGAAAACATTCTGCAATGCCAGCACTGCACTGTGGTCCTAGACTGTGGTATAGTTTCATTATGCCCACAGATTTTGCTTTAAGAGCACTTATTTCAGACATTATTAGACACAGGATTTTTTTTTTGTTGCATTGGTAGTTAAGTGGAAAAAACAGTGAAAATAGTATAGTGGGCTATATGATTAGTACAGTCCACTTGTAGTGTTAATATACTATTTAGAGCTGTGTTCCCAACTTGATAAGCCACTGTGTTCTGTGAAACTACATTTGCCTTCTCTTTTCTGCACAAAAAAAGTCCAGTAGAAATCATGTTGTGCCAGTTTTGAGCAAGATGTCCTGTAAGTCATCTGGAAGTGCTAGTATAATGTCATTGATGTGTGTCTGCAGCTTTTTCAGTGTGTCAGTTTTCACAGGAAGATGTTCTCTGTCAGCCTGCAACTGCAAAAGTACATAAAACATGATCTCTACTAAAAATGCAATTTTACCTTAAGACACCAAAGCAACATATTAACAGACCTGCAAAATTAATTCCTTTCAGACCAAGAGGGAATTTGGACAACAGCAGGTTTCCTCAACTACCACACAGCAGCATGAGCTAACAATGATTTGGACTTTCAGGAATCACAAGACAATTTGGTCTTCTTTCCTGAGGATTCAGTCTTGCTCCCACTCAGATCAATCACAAAGGTCCAACTAGTTTTAAAACAATGAGATCAGTGCGATGCTTCTAACACAGCTGAACACTATTGGGAGGCCAGCTAACTTTTCAGGCATGGCTGGAATGAACTGTTCTTGTTTTAAAAGCCTGAATAATTGATTCTTTAAAATACCTGTATCTTAAAATATTTTCCTTTAAGTACCTATAAACACTATTATACTTTTATCTAGTTAAATCATGCAAATTTGAGCCCATGTTTAATTCAGTTACTTACCAGTTTATTCTTTAACTTTAAGACAAGATCCACCGTTTCTACTTCAGTATGTTTCTGACTCCAGAAAACCAAGTTCTAAAAGAATAAAAATTAAGCACTGTAATATTTATGGCAACATATAACATTTTCAAAAGCCATATTAATTTACACCTACTGTTCAGAATGGGTCTGTCTTCTCTTTTTCCTTACTCTCATGCCATTTACTAAACTCATTTTACTCACATACTGCCTCTACCGAGAGCTATGGTATCTGCTTTATTTGCATGTTTGCCCAGGGCTCAGCATAACAGGAACCAGCACACAATCACAAATCAAAGAAACAAATACAAATAAAAAACTCCCATGCTAAACAGGCTTAGTTTCAAAACTAGCACCTACAATGCAAAGTGGAGTGAAAGTTACCAAATCAGACCTGCCAGCATCATCAATTATTAAAAAGCTGCCAGACAGCACTTCTTGTTTCTAGGGTATTAAAGGAGAACACATTGTTGATAACTAGTAAAATATACCCATTAAGTGAATTTTATTCTGGCAATTCTGTTCCCCCACCCCTTTACTAGTTACCTATTAAAGACATCTGCTCGTGTACAAAAAGATGTGAACACTTGGATCTAAATAAAAGACTAATATGGAGCAGAATCAGTAGTAAGTTTGTGGCATTTCCTTTTCTTTGCAATAGGTTTACATCACATAGGATCAGATAGCTTCTATGTGATATAATTGACCTAGCTATTGCCATGCAAACTGTTCAAACAGAGCAGCCCAAATAATCTATTTCAGTTGCTACAACGTAATGTTTGGGAATTCACAACCAAGGGATAAAAATAAATAGTTTTTTGAAAACAACCAGCACAATTTTTGTTTGTTTTAAAGCTGTGCTGTTGACTTCTTTTTGTTCTTCCCTTCTCTTTAGCTGCACAATCTCTCCTCCTCTCACAGCACCTTCCTTTAATAGTTGTTTCAACTTAAATTATACATAATGTATTACACTGTATTATGTATTACACTTCAGCTTCTTAAAGAACGGATCTTACAACATAAGATCATTTATGTAGTATTTTGTTTTATGTCAATAAACAGATTTCACTTCTCAGCTTCCAACTACTATGGATCAGTTGTAGGCTTATTTACTATCCCTATCTAATTAGTTGTCAGTTTCCTATGGTGCCCACCTTCAAAGCTACAAAACATATCACAACTGAAAATGTGTTGTCAAATGAAATGCCAAGGAAGGAAGCTGAATGAAATAACAGTATTAGATCTGAGGAAAAACCTTTTTGTGTGTATTCATATTTAAAATACACAACAGAAAATAATTGAAGATACATTTTACAAACAACAGCTATAAAAAATGAACAGTATTTCATATCGTTCTCTTTTGCTATCGTTCCAGATTGTAATTGGTTAACAAAATCATGTTTTGCTAGCTCATACTCAAAACTGATATTAGATTCAACCAATAAAAACAGCAGGAGTAAAACTGACCTGAAGGAGAATATGTTTTTATTATAATACGATAAATACAAGCCCACATTTTTCTAACCTCATTACAGAGGGCTTCTAAATGAAGGGCCTCCAACTTCTGAGTCATTTCTTTCTGCCGGCTCCTAAACCAACCGTCGAAGTTTGGCGATTTCAAAAAATGCCTGGTAAAACACAGAATCAAAATACATTTTATATTTTAATTACAATTTTGGTAATACTGTTTTCTATGCCATCAAATGTAAAGGAATTATGTTTGAGGTTGAAGAAGATATTAGGACCCTCTCTTTGTTTTCTTTCAGAAAAACATAATCTGGAGTACAGCAGGTGCTTCTTTTAATCAAGACAATAAAGATGAGGAACCTTTTCAGGAGAAAAGCAAGGCTCAGTTTGAAATATCCTCACTTTTCTCTTTTTGTTTGACTGGAAGGATGAATCAAGCTAGAACCAGAAATAAAACCACAAATAATACTGGTGTACAGAGACCTGCAGTGTCAGCAGCACCTTATGAAAACTATTAACAGGTTACAGAGAAATTTAAAGCAGTAAAGTATACTAAGCACTACCAATTCCCATTAAAGCATATATTGTAGAAGTAAGTCTTATTCAAATCAATACTGATAACAGAAGTTTGTTCAGGAAAAGAGTATTCATGTTACTGATTTGTCTTCATTTATATAATTTAATTTTTATGCTGATGAAAGAAATGACCTGTAAAGTCCTATCCAGTCCCCTTTTAAACCTGATGTGAGCTGTGGTCCTGCTTTTTCCAGTGTCTTCATGAAGTCATCTTGGCTAAACTGCCTCAGCTGTGGTGGACTCTGTGGAAGGCAAAAAAATAATCATTAGCAGGCATAACTGTTTTCTCTAATCTCCAATTTCCAGCTCCTCTGAATTGTACTTCCTTACCTTCCATGGTGATATGCATTTCTGCAAAGGCATTAGACTTGCCACATACCGTTCCTAGGGAAAGGAAAAAGAAAGGCTGTTTGCATAACCAGCACTAAAGATACACAATCCACGTGTATGTTTACTTATCACTTGTGACCACGCTATTTTCTCTTCTAAGCACCGGTACCGGGTGGGGCCATGCACATTTACCGCATAAGAGCATAAGAAGGAGCTTATCTAATACCATTTGTATTTCCCAACTACAGAGCATTATGTCGGCAAGACTCAAGGAGGACATGAGGGAAAGGACAGGAAGCAAATGTGTACATGGAATATATATATCCTGAACTCCAGCCACCTGCAAAACATCTCTTTTGCTGACAGCTACCCTCGTATCATGGGTTATTCCAAACAGCAATCCCACTTTATATCGAGGGTCTGGAAGTGTTTTTCCAAGTCCTTCATAGGAAAGTTTATGCCTACACTTGTAAGGCAAGGTTTGATATTTAGCTATATATGCAAATTGACCTTGTTCTGATCAGTGGGTTTGGATCAGATGCCCTGGTTAACCTACATTAATCTCCGGTTTTATGATCTAGTGAAAAGTTCTGTACATGCTGGTTTTCCCCAAAGGTACTGAAGTGTTCGAAAGAGCCATCCATGCTAAATTTAATTTGCCCATTTTTTTCTGAAACAGCAGTAATAATGAGGAAAACTCAGAAGAGGTAAGAGAAAGCAAATTCTGTAGCCCCTGCTACATCATGTTTGCCATTAACATTTCTGGACAGGAAATGAGACAAAGATAAAGCTGAGTTTCACAATAATCTTTTTTTTACATTTCTAATCCTGTGAATACTGCAGTAATCTGAAGAAACAGTTGCCTTGTAGCCATCAAACAACTGCCCAAGGAGGTCTGACTGCTCAGATTTGTCTACTGCAGGTAATCCAAAGGCAAAAACCCTCCAAAATCAACAAAGAAAGTAAGAAAAACAAAACAAAACCCAAATTGTTTACTTTTAGAGACAGACATTTTTCTTTGAAAGTCAGATAGAACACAGACAAAAATGGAGTTGCAAAGATAAGTCTGTGAAGAAGTAAGAGAAGTAAACTGATTGCCTAGAGGACAAGTAATGAAGTGCTCCGTCTGGACAAGCAGATGAAAGGAACTGAGATGTGCTAGACAGTTTCAGGCATAAATCAGTGAATGCACAAATATACCTAGAAAAGGGAAAAATTCACTAAAGTTTAATGATTGTGCGGAAAAGCACCCCCAGTAGAAGACAGAATAAATATTTAAAGGAAAAAAAATAAGCCAGTCTAATTTACCAGTTGAATTGGTTGATCTTTCACTTTATTAATAGAAAGATTACCTTCTAGTATCCCCTCAGCTACCACAGCAAATAGTAATGTGCTGCAGGAGTATATGCTTACAGAGCTCTTCTCATTACAAAGTACTTTCCAATTCTACCTTTCCACTACTGACATTTCTCAAGGTCAAGGACAACACTCTTCCACTTAGAAAAATAAAATATAAAATTCAAGAGTAGACAGAGGTTCCGAGTGTTGAGGGAGGATTAAAGAAATTTCCCTCTTGCTCTGTGTTAAAATACACACACAGAGTTTTGCTTTGCATAAATGCTACACAATGCATCACAAGCAAACATCTGAAAATGCTGTCTAGCAACATAAACAAGCATTCCTTTTTGCGATCTGAACCTCTTGTCTAGGTATATAAATGTTTCATTTGTTTCATTTTTGACATTAAGATCTGGCCTCAATAATTTTTATCCTACGTATGGTAATTAAAGAATTGTAAGTCTGTAGTATTTTAGAAAAGCTAAGAGACCCCAGGGGTACACTGCTGGTTACTGCACAGTTCCTGGACTTACTCAGTCAGGGTAATGCCAAAACTCTGTATTACATTTGTAATAAACCCGTTAGCTTAAGAACTCACTAATGGAATAATGAAACTTTCCGTCAATTCCAAAAAATAGCGCCGAAGAATCACACTCTGTGCTTCTGTAGGACGCTTCTGTTGTACTCCCTTAAAAAAAAAGGGAAACGAGTATTACAATAAGTCTGTTACCCCAAAATATGGAAGTAGTTGTGGGGTTTTTTTTAAAGAATATTTATTTCAGTGTTTCTGTATTCATTTGTCATGAGCACCCTGTTCCCTGAGCCAGGAAAAACAATGCAACAAGTCTTTTCACGTGGATATTCATCCCTTCAATTGCTCATTTTTTTACTTTCATGTAATGAAATTCAAGGAAATTAGTATTTCTACAAATAAAACTTGGAAGCTCTGGTTCCCACACACCTCTTGTGTGAGATTTCTAGACCAAAGAGACTGGAGGGAGATGGCAGAAGGTGGAAAACCCACAAGAGATGAACTGATCACTCACTTTAACTCTCCAAATTATTAAGCTAACTTCTTGAGCTCTACTGTTCATGTCATTATCGACACTGCTAACGAGGCAGCAGCCCTGCTTTATACAACAAGGTTGCGCATCTATCCAGTTATGAATTAGGGCAAAGGAATCAGAACCCAGTTTCATTTCACTTACACAGAGCTCAGCTTTAAATGAAGACACCGTATGAGAGTACACAGAACAGTTTCCATTCAGAAGAGACTTGCAGTATTACCTTTTGTAGCTGCTTAACTATTTCTTCATCTTTGTTCAAGTATGGCTTGTAAGAGGTATAAACACCTAAAGAAAAAAAGAGACACACAGCCAAAGGAAAAATTAGGTATGCTTTTTACAGCTTAAACATTGCTAGTTTAACTCTGCAGCAGCTTGTTACCAGGTTTGGAGTCCAAAGTTTTTAGGTTCTTCAGTTTTTTCACTTTCACCTGCTTTGGAACTTCACCTGCCAAAACATTTAAAGCCACATTACTGGAAACCTCCACCTCTATTTCTAGAATATTCCTAGTGTATTCAGAAATAGAATGTAACTTCTTCTAGAAAAAATAATTTGATGGTGTATTATCCTAACTGGTTATTTATGCATTCCCACCATCAGAACAAACAGCTACATTTAGCAATTTCATACAGCAATTAAGAGTACTGCAGTATGTTATTACAGGCAAGCAATTGACATGCTATCCAAAGATCACATTAAAATTCTACTCAATCATGTAAAGAAATCATCCAGCTTGAACAATTTAGTAATGGGATACTGCCAGATGAGAATTATATCATCAAAATTCTGTCAACAAAAAACCTCTTATCTTATAGTAGCATTCAAACTTAGCGTTCACATGGGTCTTTCTGTGCACTTTCTGTGACTGACTGATTACATTCTATTCACCCTGAAATTAACCAGAGTCAGTAATAAATTGTATTTCTCATTTTAATACCTTATTGGTAGAAATCCAAAACCAGGATTGTGTGAAAAGTAAAACATTATTACTAATGAGTATTATCACCTTTTGCATTTAATATACTAGATTTGGCAATACAAGACATACAGTACCGAAGAGCCTAATTTCACTTGACAGATTTACATCCATAAGGATTCCATTAGTATTTAACTAAATTAATTGAACTACATATGTTTGTAAATAAAAAAAGCACAGAGTTATATCTTGTCACACAGAATTGTAGAAGATACTGTACCTGGAAGTTTAAGATCTCCAATTCGGATAATGTGAGGCCAGTGCTGAAGTGTTTTAGCAAAAAACGGATTTGTCACCCCTAGAATGACAGATGGTCTAGAAAAATAATGACAATATTTAAAATACGACAGCAGGAGCTTCTGTCTTAATGAGTAACAAAAGGTCAACTTTCATTCTTAACTTGGAATTATTTTCCTTTTGTATGGGAATTACATTTTAAGTTGCATGTAAAAGCATAGTACGTTTGTCAGTTTTTGACTTCAAGAAAATAGCAAGATCGATGTATCATGAAGCCCAAACAGTACTGGAGAATGAAAGTGATGACATCTGCTTAGACTCTTGGCTAAATGCTGCCCCTTTGCAAAGATGACAACAAGGTATTATCTGATTTATTGTCTGACTTCTTTTTTAAACAAGCAGGAATCTGACCCGTACTTGAAAGACAAATTGCTACTTTTGAAGGTTAGATTACCACAAACGCTCAGTACTTTAATGTGCACGTCAATATGACTGCTGCGTAGATGAGACTTCTCAGTAGAGCTCCCCGAAATTGCTCGCCTCTCACTAAAGGTAATAAAAGACAGATTCTGCATCATTTGGATTCTCCCCTTCTCAGAGCCGCTGCTTCAGAAGCCTATTTGCAATCTATCCATTTTTTGGTTGTTTTCTGTAAGAAAGCCAGAGCAATTCCAGCTTTGTTTCAAATCCTAATGTACATACTGACCAACCTTGCTATTTTGCTAGAGAAACAGATGCAATTTTTAAACATGGGTTACTAAAGTTTAACCAAATTCTTTCTGCAATTATTTTTAGAAACTAAATTACATACTGCATAACCATTCCCATGGAATACAATCAGAAACATAGTGCCTGTGTTTGTATGTTTTTTCCACTGCTGTATCTCTGGTAATATTTTTGTTGAGAAGAAAAGCACAAAAACCACCCCAAACCATGAAACAAAAACCACAACCACCACCACTGCCTGTTCAGACATTAGAAAAAACGTATAAAGCGATCAGTGAATCTAACACATGCACTCTGTTCCCAACTCAAGTTGCATTTAAATAACACAGAATAAGAAACATTAGAGGTTTGCGGTCTCAAAATAAAGGTTACAATAAAAAACACAAGGAGGGGGCGGTGTGGGAGGGAAGCATGCCCTTAAAGCAGTTTCAACAGAAATGTTTTTGGAGATGTATGCTCTTAAAAAGGAAGCTGAATTTCTGAATTATTTACAACATTTTCCTAATAAATTTAGTGAAGGGATATTTGCTTTTCCAATTACAGTCAAAACTATGACACTGACTGGATTAACTTTACAGAACACCTGTACGGATGTTGAATTGTAGAAGTCACTTTGTTTAGTAATTGCTTAAAACTAAAAATAATTATGGAACCATTTCCCAGGGAGCTACAAAGGACCTGGCATAGCATAGACGAACCCTTTATGGAAAGGCAAAACTTACTCTGTACACAAATATCCTATGAAACTCAAATGTTTGGCATTGCTACAGAACTTCTTTATGCTATCTAACTGGAGTGAAAAACTAGAACCAGCTATTTATTACACTATATGAAGATAAATCTTATTTATAAGGAGTATAAGTGTAATTCTCTAATGACAGAAATTCAGAACAGTTAAGCAGTATCTTAAAACAAAGTTACGAGTAGCTTTCAGCAACACCTTCACAACACAGCTTGATTTACTTACGGGGCTTGTGTGCGAGTTGTATACTCTTTGAATTCACTGTCATGTATGGTGAAATACGGCCTGAAATCACTGCAGTACTTCAATGGTGAAATACAACTGCAAGGTAGAAAGACGATAAACTTTTATGTGTATAGTGCAAAATCTCGTGGGAGACACAAGCAAATCTAAAATCTGTAATGCTTTGTTACATTCAGATCAATTGTTGCACTCAGCTGCAATGTACAATGGCTCAGTCATTAGATAGGAAGCTCCACTACATTTACCTAACAAGTGCCAACACAGTTTCTGAAGACTCTGATGGTGATGGTGCCATCACAACAAGCGGTTCTCCTAGTAGTACTAGTTCCCAAAGCATCTGGATGTGAAAGAACACTGGACAGAAACACCTAAAAACACATTGAGGTATTTTAATAAACTTAACATAACCAGAAGATACATATATTTGATTGAGAGCTGGATAAAAAGGAAGTTAGCAGTAGTATTTAACACTCATTTGAAAAATACAAAAAATACTCTTGTAAAATGGAACATTTAATGAACTTGCATATTTACTGCTGTTTCAGCTCACATATTGCTCAATAGAATCATATTGCCTGCTGGTTTTTAGCCAGCTTTACAGAGAAAGAATATTAAACAATACTGATGCTGGCTTACAAGCTACAAGATACGCATTATGGAACCATCATACATTTTTGGCTTGTGGGAATTCGTAACTGGAAATAAGTCAGTCCAAACTCTTACCTGAAAAGATCTACTTCATGAACAGTTGGTAAAGCCATGGAGATCTGAGCATCTGCCTAAAAGACATCGCAATGCTTGTTTTTTTTAGTCATCAGAATTCCTAGGTATTAAATGAAATAGTTTCCCTTAAATGCTTACAGACATTATTTAGTACTAATTATTTACTACTGCAGTATATACCATGTTATTTCCACAAGTAACTTTTTGTGTGCTAGAAGAAAGATTACCCCCAACACACACACCATCCATGGGCATGCAACTACCAGTCCAGAAAAGACAGAAAATACTGAACCTTTTTTAAACAACAATCACACAGCACAGGAAAGCACAGAAGAGATTTGCTTTATATCCACCTTCTACAACTAAAGATTTTTAATCCAATTTTCATCCTCAAAACCCCCCCAAACCAGTTCATCAGTATAGTTTCACCCATTAAAAGGACGTTCAAGTTCAGTAATTTTGTCAGCCAACTATCTCTTCCAGGAGCTGGACGTCCCTCTTCTAAAGAACTTGGGCTAACTGGGATAGAATTCCTTTTCTACAAAGAATCCATAGACTCCTCCACTCAAAGTTTCAAAGACTGTGGATTTCATTATTATCAAAGTATAAGAGAATTTGCTATCAACCTTTTATGAACAAGTTCAAAGTAAAAGAATGAAGGCAGGTATTGGGGTCTGTCTTGGCGTTATATACAAGTATCTCATCTCTACCTGGTGCATATTCTGTACTATTGGTGTTGTTCCAGGCTTGTCACGATATGTTGGTATTCGCAACTAGGAAAGAAAAAGATTTTTTTTGTCCTTGCATCACATTCAACAGAGACTTAAAATGCTGACTTACAGACAAAATGTAACATTTAAAGAGGCTATACTACAGTACAATGGCTAATTGTCTATATGAACAACCACATAATAGTAAATACATAGCTGAAGACTTCAAATCATCACTACAGAAATCAACATGCAACACTTTGTAGTACTATATTGTCAGTTGAATATTGTAACATTAAAACTGTACCTCAGTTAAAAAAAAGACTTGATAACATTAGTCACAACTAATTTCAATAAAAGTATGTTTAAATGTTGGAGAGAATGATCTGAAATAAGGTTGTGGGGTTTTAGGTTGCTACAGAATTAGTTTTAGAAAAATTCCTCTCTCAAAAATCAGATATCCTGGTGGGTATAAGGCAGAATCCAAACAGACTGAACAACATAAATACATTTTTCTGACCTCACAGTCTCCATCTAGAAGTTGAGATTGCTACAAATTTAATCACACTGGAAACTGGTGTGCACAGATGGATGCAACTTATACTCATTTAGAAGTGACTGCCCCGACTGTGAAAAACCAGGGGCAGTATCACTGAAGACAGTAATTATGGCTTTAATCAGCTTAGGAATACAATTTCAACTCTCGTGGATAAAAATTACGGCTGAGATAAATACAGGCAACACCCTAACAAGACATATCTGACATTTCCCATTATCACCTAGCATCCAGAGCACTGCTTTATTAAATCTGTGCTTTCAGAACAGCTTTAGAAACTTCTCCTTCCTTTCCCTGGTGACGTACATGCATCTAGCCATAAACTTGAAAGTAAGAATGTACTTCTGACTGTAACCTCTGGATCCATCAAATCCATTTAACTGTGTTTCATACAAAGATACTATGGCTCCCAGAGGCCCAGTTCCTAAACACCATTTAATCTCTACAGCTCCTCCCCATGCGCTAGATACACCTTTAACAGCTTTCTTCAGATGTATTTTATTTTCACTGAAAATTATCAACAGACCAAGAAATTAATTTCTGGTGTGAGGGCCAAGAAAAAAATTTTCTGTCAAAATTTGGGAACAAGAACGATTTTCATCAATATATTTACTTTGTTTGACTGGAACTTAATTCTAGATATTTTGAAGTGTAACTTAATGTTTGATTTGGCAAATATGATTAGCATTGAAGTCTCCTAGAAACCCCAGAGGATAATAGAGACACTGCAATTAGTAACTGTATTGAAGCACTGCTTGTTAATATCTACAAAAATTACATGTTAACTTATGCACCACAAAAGATCCTCCTCTCCTTCACCCAACTGAGAAACCTAATCAAGATCTCCCAAACCTTCCCTCTGAGTTGAGTACACACCTACTCCTATTCCCAAATAGGAGACACTGAAAACAAGGCAGAACACAGTGAGTAACTACACAGTAAATGGCGGGGAAAACACCCTCGAACAAAAATAAGTGCAGGAGTATTTACCTTCATTATAATACCCATAACAGGCAAATGCAGTATTTTCCCTGGAATTGGCGGTGGCCAACGATCAACATCACTACAAACTTGAAAGAAAATAAAGTATAATTTAAAACAAGCTTACATATGCTATAACTCATAGTACTGTAGTCACCTCTGTGCACACGGCAATCTTCAATTAGTGCTGATAGCCCGCAACACTTCTGCATATCACTTGGTAAGTTCTGAACTCTAAAGAAGTTTTACAGCCTTTTTGATATTCTTAATGTATTATTCAATTAGGATTATAAAGTTTTTCACTTCAAGAAAAGAGTATCCTCTTGTCTTCCATTTTTTTGTAACAACTAGACTCGCAATTAGTTGAAGAAATGTTTTATGAGAAATCATGAAAGTACATATTAAGAAACTGGGAAAAGAAAACACATATTTACATACATTAGCCAGTGTAAAACATAAACGCAAGTAGTTAATGAAAAAAGCTGCCTTTCTACCTTGGCTAGAAAGTTTTTCAGCATTTTGTTGTAAATAATTATGAATACCATTACTAATTTTAGTAGTTTCTGCACAGTTTTGTTCATAACACAATGCCGAAACCCTGTTTATCTACAGGTGATTAAAAAAATACAATTCCTTCATCAAGAAAGGTTTCCACAAACTGCTACTTGGTGAAAGCACAAAGACATGAATGTTGTGTAGGGCAGACACAGTACAAGGACTACAAGGACTAGACACTTCTAGGCAAAGAAGATGCCATCTCGCCCTCTCTGGCTCTTCAAGTTCTACAGTAAGGCTGAGGAACCTGTTTACCAGCACTGTTACCAAAAAACCCCATGCAAGACGATATTTGTACAGTTGCTTAAAGGCTGTCAGAATGCCCAAAAGGACTCAGTTTTGAAGACTGCAAACTAAGGACTGCCATCAGCTACTTGCGCTGAGCAGTGGTCCTGAAACAAACCACAAAACTCTAGGTATTTTTTTAGGGGGGAGCTTCAGTTCTCCCATGGAGGATTCAAAATCAGATTAGCCCTGTTCAATGATCTAGAAACCAAGCCAGGTTGCTGAAGTTTCAACCTTCTACCCTGCAAGAAGACAGAAGCACAAACTAGAACATGACAATGTTGTTTGTTATGTCTCCAAAGAAAGTATGTGATATTCTAAGAGCTCTTCCAGGACAACACAATAGTACCAGTACCTGCTTCCAGGAAAGCTTCACTTTTGTCAAAATACTCTGGAGCTATTTGCTTAAGCATGGTGCGGAAGAGATGGACGTAAGGCAGCTTGCTGATCAGGACCAGCGACTGCAATAGAGTAACAAAACATAAATATAACTCTAAGTTAAGTTTCCACTCAGTTCTGGTGCAGTTCTACTGCTTATCCTCAGAGAACATCAAGTGTGATTCTTCTCACACATGCAAGCCCATCACGCACATGACTACAAGCAACTACAAACAAACTTTGTTCTGACAGTGCAGCTGGAATGTAGCATACCTGAGATAACATCAGGCCAATTAACCATAAATCAACAATGAATTTAGTTAATAGAGCAAGATATTCTTCCTGCTCCTCTGAGGTCACTGAAAAATAACTGATTTCTGAATTAACACTTCCTGAAAGAATTTAAATTACCTTCTGGAAATAGCCTCTTTTTAATGATTTGTCTCGAACTTGTCTGAAATATACATAGCCATAGTAATAAGCTGGATCTTTCTGCAAAAGAAGGGAAAAAAATCAATACAAAAACCTGATGCAGTCCTTCGTTATGTAGCATTCTATATGCTTTTTAAAAGCTTATTTCCCTGCAAACTCCAAAGTTGGTTACATACAATAAACTAGAAAGATTAATCTGTTTATTGGCATTACTTTTTTAATAAGTACTTCAAAGAGAAAACACCAGCGTGTGCAAACAGCTGAGCTTTCTGGCCTTACTATTTTTGTATCTACAGTCTCCTGACAGAACATGAAAGCAAAAGCAGAAATAATTTCCTAAGGAATAAATCAAGTCATAATTTTGCAAAGCAGCACTGAAGCGATTTTAGCAGTTAAAAACCTTAAAGCCCTGATTTGAAAAAGCAGAAACTAGTCTTTTAATGTATCAGTTTTTTATAAAGACTCTTGCAATATTAAAGAAGAATACTCTCACATTTCAAATATAAAACATCAGCTTCATCCTTCCTACAAAGAGGAATTCAAATATTTGCCACAAACAGAATCAGACTCCCACTAGCATAGTTAAAGGCCTTAATATTCCTTTAAATATGGACATGAGAAGAACAATTTTTAGGCCATTATCTCTTCTAAGTAACTGCTCCATCTTCAAAAACTGAAGGGTGGAAAAAGAGAAAAACAACTCAATTTCCTTGGCTTTCTGGTTTTTCTTTTTCTTCCTGAAGTTATAAAGCTCTTCCAATTTCAGGTTTCTAGTAAGTAACCAAATTGGTCTGGTCTTCAACTTAATTCCTTGCAATCCAAAACCCATAATAATTAAAATTACAGAATAGTTAACTAATTGTTAGTTAATTGTAATGACAATGATCTGGTACAAAAAGTATTTGCTGAGCTTTGTCCTTCAGGACATTGAGTTCAGAGATTCTGTTTTACAAGCATTAAATTTAAGTGTGAATTAACATTATCCAGAAGGAATTAGCTTCTTCTTTTCTTATATCCAACCTTTAAGTAAACTGGTAGATCTCTATCCAGCTGGTCCAGAAAACAGCAGAATGAGACTTTCCTTCCAGGAGACCGTCGAAACCTAAAACAAAACTGTGTGTCCCCAAGACAACCTACATGAGGGAAGAGATAAAGAAGTAGACAGTATTCTGAGTTTGAGCCTTCCTTAACATCAGGACTTGCATACAGCCAAAGAGGTACAGTAGTTTTGGTTCATTTATCGTGTACTGCTGTGACCATTTCTCTGTTTATATTCTTATAAGTGAGCAATCTGGCATCTTCGGCAACAATAAATATCCTGTCTTCAACAAGAAAAAAAAGTCAGCCTGCCTCACAGTGAGTTTATGACTGTCATGTCCTTAAACACCTCTGCCAATGGCTGCCACAGAATCACAGACTGGGTTGGAAGGGACTTTAAAGCTCTTCCAGTTCCAATCCCCTGCCCTGTTACTACACATTTTACTGATCTTCCTGTTTAGTCCTGATCACCTTTATCACGTCATTTCTCTGTTTAATGACTGCACTCAGCCTTTTTTTGACACCAAACAGTTCATATACAGTCACACCATAAGAGTGTATTATGCTGATTATGATGTGCAGGTGTAAGACTCACTATTTTTGAAAGCTGCAAAACTTAATTGCAGAGAACTGAGTGAAACTGAGTACTGCTTCTCAGTAATACTCCAAAAGACTGGAGTTTTCCTTCATTTATATAAAACTCAATTTCTAAAAGAAAAAATGTAACTAAGTATATTGACTATTTGCAGTCTGAAATTAATTTGGGCTAAGTTTGTATCAGATATCAAAGAAATTTTCTCCAGGTGGAATATGAGGCCTGCAGTATCAGAACTTGTATCACTCATACTCTCATGGCTGCTCCCTCTCACGATTACAAATGTTGTTTGCTGCTAGAAGAAACTTCAAAGAGACTTTAGCTCAAGTAGAAGCTATATAAACTCCACAGAACGTACTGTTCATGGGAACAGTGATAAGGTGGACTGCTAGAATCTGAAGAACACACAGATACATTACTCATTCTAGCAAACCTGTAATAAAAAGTCCCTTTGAAATGCAGTGTTACTAACAGAACACAATCAACAAAGACACTCTCCCGAGCATTGCCAATGTATGACAAGCAGACTACCTTCACTTTAACAATGAAAATGCTCATGACTATAAAACCCAATCTATTATTAAATTTACAGCTACTGTTAAGCAAACTGACTACAGCAGCAAGTTTCCAGCTGGCAAAGGACACTTCCTTCTCCATACTGCATCTAAGTGCTCCATTAGCACTCTGCTCTTACAGCTTTTGGACATAATTTCTGAAGATCTTCAGGAAGAAAATGAAGTCACTACTGAGCATCTCAATCCTTCACAGCTGTCGTGTCTTACATCAGCCAGTGCTAATTGACTGAACAGTAAAGCAGAGCTCCATTCTCCAAGTAGTATTCTACGGATTTCAAAGCTCAATTTCATCTCCTCTTTCAGTTACATACATACTGCTGCAGCACCAACAGACAGCCCAAACCCACAGTCACATTCGTTGGCTGTCAGTGTCACGAATACTTGCATGTTCAGCACATTGCGATCTAAGTCTTAGAAGCCCTTGAAGTGCAGCAGGAGGAAACCCACAATGAAACAAGCCAAAACAGAAAGTAGAAAAACATGTATGGTGAGATAACCATCCAATTCAAACAGGGAACTAAAGAAAGAGCTTATCAATATGGATCCAACTGTAACAAGAAAAAACACAGCATTTGCCAGTAACACAGCACTGAATATTTGCTGCAAGTTTTCATAGCTGATTCCCTCCATCCAAAGCAAAAAGAAAAAAAGTCATGATAAAAAGCCTTACACAAAAAAACCTGAAAGTAAATTACCCTTAATCATTAATATATTGAAGTATCATTCAGCGCATGATGGTTTCTTATTTAACAAGCTCTTCCTGAATGTAGAATCTGAGAAGACTGGTAAATGTCTGTTCTTCATACAGAAAAGGCAAATATCATTATTTTAATGATAATCGTAATAGAAAACTTAGCTGAAAAACCACAAGAGCTGTCACAACCTAGTGTCACCATGGATTAAATCCATTTCCCCCCTAGATTCACAGCCACTGCAAATCCCAGAATGACAGAATGATACCGATTTGTTGTTGTAAAAGAAAACATTAAAAAGGTTGAATTAATCTTTTGAGCCATGAACAGCCAGGAGAGATGGACCTCAAACCTAGCTGCAAGCTGTAACTTCCTTCACTGCTGTGTTACACAAAGCTTTCCTTTTAACGTTACAGCCTAAAATGAAGAAATAAATTGTAAGAGCACACACTCCTAGCTGATTTCTAGAACACAGAGGCAATCCCTTTACATCATTTCAAACTTCAGCCTGCCACGAGTGATCAAGAACCTGCAGGTCCTTAGAAGGTACATTATAAAAAGCAAAAGGTGGGATTTTTTTTCCCTGCTGAAAGTGAACACTCTTTATGTACATCTATTCTGCCTAAAATAACTTCACTACCACTCTTACTGAATCAAAACCAAAACCCCCGAAATACCCAAAAAGCAAACAAAACAAACCCCCAAAACAAACAACAAACCAAAAAAAATCCCACACCACAAACAACCCTGCCAAAAATTTTGAAGATCAATCTTTGTTCCTAATGCATTATTTTGTACCTTCAATACACCTTCAGAAGGCTGGACAGATTTAACACCATTAACAACAAGAGTAATAGAAGACACAGGTAACTCATCTTTCAGTAACAGAAAGAAGCTCTTCCTCTGTTTGCATACAAGATGTAAAGAACAGAGAAAATATCTTGATTCTAATGACATTGAGACAAAGGAAAAAAAGTAGCCAAGATATTCTGTAAGGAAGTGCCCATAGGCACACTGAAAGCACACATACACATCACCCCGTATCAGAGTTATGCTACAGAACAACCCAAAGCACAGCGTAAGAGCAGCTATAGGGACAAGTCTGTTACTACATGTTTTGACTTTTGTAAAGAAGTAAATGCAAAAGGAAGTGTCTGTACTTCTGCCATATCTTTTTGCAGGTGGTTCAAGTCATCAGCCATGGGCCTCCAATTTCTCTTTGGCAGCAGAACAGTAGTCGTTCAGATTAAAGAAGAATTTAACAAGCTGGACCACACACAGCAACAGAAACATGAAAAACGGAAAAGATACAGCCTAGGTTCTCCCTTCCCAACTGCTCTTTCTAAATGTCTTTGAATTTAAAAGTCAGTTTCAGTGTTAGGAATTTAGAAAACATATTACTCTCTTATGTGCAGGGGGGTCCATATCCCTTCCATTTGCTTTATTAAACCCTTCCAATTCTGTGCCTACACGCCTCTCTCCAATGACAATATCATTACTTTGTTTAAAACAAATTCAAGGTGGTCATTCTTTACTTCCAAAACATTCTGAAACGTCTGCATGTGTGTCATCTGGATGGTCTTACACATTCACATTCCTGATATTTCACTTACATAGAAGAAAAAACGAATTCTCAGACCTTGCTGCAACACAGGTAGAGTTTTATATCTAAGCTTATTTGCAACTTTTCTGTATTTGTAGCATTAAGATAGTCATATAAGTATTTAATCTAAAACCATGAGTATATACTGTCAAATTCTACCTTTTTTAAACATAGCTTAGTCCAACAACAGATGACCAAAGAGTGAAGGAAGCACTTACCTGAATTAGAATCTGGAAAAGACAAATAGCAAATATTGGTTTTCTAAAGGGTGGGGAAAAGAAAAGAGTTGTTATATTTCCTGAAATCATTAAACTAAAAACAAATTATATATATTTATAAGGAACCATGACTTACCTCTTTATCTGTGAGTTTTGAATGTGGAGGATATATTACCTACAGGAAAAAAAGTAGTATTATATTTGTAAATAAACTGGGTACAAGCATTAAGCTTCTATTAAATATTTTTACGATACAATACTCCAATACCTGGCTAGCCCTAGGCTATTTTCAGTGGTAAGATGTTAATACTATGTTCTTGTCTCAAGCTAACTTGATCACCTATCTTTCCAAGGTACTTTGGATGCCAATTGGAGACCATACAGTTACATTAAAGAACTCAGAGTACTGAGTTTTTTGGTGCAACAGGTCTCAAATGAGAGCAAGATGACATCCTTAGACTAAACTTGTATATACAAAATGCAGCAGATCATTTCACAGAAACCCAACAACAATTTATTGTCTGATATCTGTTTCAATGGATAGTTAGCTGGGAGTAATCAAAATTCAATCACTAAACACTCTCTATATTAACACTAACTCTTGGAGGGTGCACACATGCCCTAAGTAAGAGCTGGAAACTCTGAAAGCTGAAGATACCCACTCAAAAAGCCATAGCTTTTGTACTCACAGAAAGAAAAAAGTGAACTTATTTAACACATTATTACAACACAGAAATCAAAACCCATGCAACACAGTGTAAGATAAGGAAGTACTGTCATTTGAAAAAAAATCTGGATGTACAAAATCAGTGATTATGCAAGTGAGTGAAAAAAGAACATCCAGGAAAGAGGACAACCCTGAAATACTTAAATTTCATCTTAAAAGTTCTTCCCCAAATGCCCCAGAACTACTGAACTGGGTGGCTAACCTGTAAGCAAAGGAAATTCAACATAAATTCAAATATTGTATTTCAAAAAAGGTTTTAGTGCTTCCATAAATGGGAACTTCTCAAAGAGCAGAAGTTCAATGCAAGAACACTGATTCCCTCTAGAATCTTCATATTACCACACTGCTAACATTGTTACCTAACTAATCTTGTTTGACAAACATACGCACATGTATCTTCTGATAACATAACGCTGTCTTACCCCACAGAAAACAACAAATACCTCCGCTGGCTGGCCTCACTGAGCAGGCTTTCTGTCCCCTGGCCATTAAGTCTCCAATTCATTTATATTCTCTGATCCAGTGATGTCCAGCCATACAACATACTATTATCATAACTAAAGCTGAAAGAAGGCATACAAGTGGAACACCTGTGTACTGCATTTAGTAAACCCATCATCACCCTTTTTAATCTCTTAACATACTCCCATGCTACCGTACACCAAGCAGTACACTCAAATGTAACTCTTCCAGAAGGTGAACAATGATGACCTGCACCTTGCCAGATGACTCAAGTACAGGCCAGACTTGAATTCATACTCCTTTTCCTCACTAGCTGGTGGATCTTCACAGAATTTAAAGTGCAACTAAAAGCCACTCTTCCTGCAGCAATGTAACTGAAAAAAAATCAGCCCTTAATAATACAGTCATCTGAAGTTTCATTTTGTGTATTCATTTAACTCTTGTTAACAAGAGTTATCTGCAGACAGGACAGAGGCTACTCTGTGCCACAGAGCCTGTAACCCATTTAAGCCACGGGTTATAAAGAAAAGTCTGTCTGTGTTCCTAACACCACCTTACAGCATCAAGTGAATATAACATGAATAATTAGTACAGTAGGCTTGGGTTTTATTTGCATTTCTTGCAGCCAACAATGCACATTAATTATGTATTTTAAATATTGCAATAGCTAGCTTGGCTGAATTTTAGGCCAGTCTGCCATACAGTTATGCTACACCACTTTAACAACAACAAAAATGAAAAGAAGAAAAGGACATTTTTCCCTGCCCACCAATTGTTCGCCGCACAGTCATTTAGGGAATAGTGCGAAACAGGATGTGAAATTGGTCCCAGTGAAAATGCTCCTTTCCAGTTTGTTTTGCAGCCTAATCAGTTCCCCAGTGTGTTTCCGTAAGCAATGTCACAGATGTTTGCCTGTTGCACAAAATGGCAAAGAGCAGGAGTTCAGCACCTGCAGCCTGTGCAGTGTCACAGTCTGACGTTCATTAACGGTGCAAGGAAAATGCTTTTAACATTAAATAATCGATTTGAAGACCTCAGCGATCCGGAGAAGACTGTTAATGAAGACTACTTGCGTTCGCAATGTTATTACACTACCTTAAACTCTTTTAACACCCAGATGCCACGGAAATCACTGCTAGCCGTACACAAAGAGGTGACACCCTACCACCCCAGCCGGCACCTCCAGCCCCCAGCTGTGTCTCACGCAGCCGGGGGCTTCGTGCGGCCGTCCCCGGTTCCTCGCCGGGCCGGACCCCGCTCGGGGTTTTGCACAACCCCGTTTCCCTCAGCACACCGCCGAGCTTCCCCAGCTGCTCGGCAACACCCGCCCAGAGGAAGCGCCCGATGCCGCCGGGGTCCCGCCGCCTCACGTACCTCCACGGCCTGGCCCAGCTCCAGGTCGAAGCCCACCACACACACGCAGTGCAGCCAGGCCGAGAAGCGGTCCCAGGGCAGCAGCGACAGGCACCGGTCCGAACCGTCGGGCTCTGCCAGCGCCTGTGCCGCATCCTCCCCGTCCCCGGCGGCACGGCCCGGGCTGCGCTCCCGCAGCGACATGGCGCTACCGGCGCCGCGCCGGCTGCAGGCCCGGCCCCGCCGCGGCCGCCACGTGACTCCCGGCGCACCGCCCCCTCCGCGCTCCCCCGGGCACCGGAGCCTCCAGCAGCGGAGAAGTCCACGCAGGCACTGGGGGAGAGGGTGCGCGCAAAGCTCGAACCATTCTGCGGGAGGGGGGTGGTGGCGGCAGCCGCAGAGCGCCCCCCCGCGGCCCGCAAGGGAGCAGCTGGCGCCTGCAATGCTCTTTGAGTCGTAAACAAGTGCGGGACCGGCTGGCGAGGGACGTCATCCCGCGCTGCCGCTGGAGCAGCCTCGCCCCGCACAGCGTCACCCACCGCCGCCGGGCCTGGCCGGCAGCGCAGGGGCCTCGGCGGGCAACGGATCGCGGGCAAGAATTGGCCCTTCCCTGCCCGGCGTGCTCGTGAACAGCGCCTGCACGAGAACGGGGCTGTCACTAGCTAATGAACTGGCGCGGTGCATCATGCCCTCGGCAACGTCGGAGCATCCGCAGGCTGACGGACGCACAGCCGCATGCTGCGCGGGGAGTCGGGGTAATAAAAGCAAAACTGATGGCATGTTCTGAAAGCGATCTCGGCACCTTTGCCAAGCGTGGAGCTCCTTACTGAATAATGAAAGAGCTTTCAAATACTTTTTCAGCACAGTCCATCTCCCACTTGTATTTCAGTAGGAAACAATTTATGGAGTTGGAAGAGCTAAATAGCTACTTTATTAAACAAACAAAAATCACACCCATACCCCACAGCTCCCGACCTGTAACTCCCATTATTCAGTTACTCACACTAGACTTCTGGCTGACTGCTACGAGAACTGCTGCAACCGCAGTAGGTGCAGACAGACTGGCTGCCTGAATCACTGTGTGTCCTTTTTTTTGCCAACACAAGTTGCAAATACCCAAACCAAGATGTGGTATCTTGGTTTTGTACCCTGTATATACATAATAGAACATTTACAATTCCTTAGATGAACTAAGACCTATTAACAACATTTGTTTATCAAAGCCAAACCGCTCAAAATTAAAGAACCCTTTGATCATGACAGTAATTTCTTAGACAAAGGAACAAACATACAGCTCAGACGAAATTATAACACAACATTATCAGTGTAATAGTTTAAGGTACAGCAGCCTTTGGTTATCATAAACCATTAGTGGCTAAAGGAATTTCAGATATAAACCAAGATGTATGTGGGCAGAGCTCTGCAGTGTGCAGTGGGAGCGGCTGAACCAGGAGGCTCCTGCTGCCTCTACTCACTTCAGGTGTTCTACCATGATGCCACAGAAGAGCCATGAACATTGCCAACAGTTAACTCCAGAGTTCTGTAACAAGTTACTATGCAGAGTAAGAGTGGGCTAAGATTTGGCTTCCTCAGGTTTAACCCAGAGCAATGACTCTGCAGGGGTGTTTCATTTTCCGTTTCCATTTAAGAGCTGAAACTGGGCCTGGCCAAAAGCTTTTATCACTGAGTTTAAGAAAAGATGCCATCTCATGGCTTTGTACACACCTTCCCTTGCTTATAGTTTTATACTTTGCCTTGTTTACCTTCTTGCTACTATGGGCAGAACAAAATTTTAGCCATTATTATAATACTTTCCCTTCTATTTTTTCTGGCCTCTATTTTTAAGTTTTTATGTGAATAAAAAGTATAAATGAATACAAGTACAGGAAGAATAAAGTACTTTGTAAGACTGATATTCTCTGCTCATTTTGTTAAACAATAGCCAGTTACTTAATTCCACCTGAAGCTTAGAAATAACCTCTTGGAAGAGAAAGAGAACAGAGACAGGATCTTTGAGAAAGAAGCCACTGAAGATGATTCTCACCTAAAGAAGATATTCCCAACGACCATGGAAACACCCATTGAGGAGGATTTTCACCTCGCCATTCCAAATACAATTTTGTTTTGGTACAACATGGTGATCTTCAGTTGAGAAAGGATGTCAGCTGCTTAAGAAAACAGTAAAAAAAAAAAAATTTATATATTTTAGGTTTTGCAATGTTTAGAACAATGGAGACTGCTTTTGCCTTCAAGGAGCATATCAGTGCAAGACAAAATAGAGACTTCAAAGTTAGGAATCTATTACCTGAGTATGCTTTGCTACAGACAGTTAACAGTCTCATGCAATAGTAGGGCACTGCATGTGGAATGTGCCCGTACAAAGCTCTATGAACTCCAATTTTAAAAAAGAGACCAGTCTGTTCATAGAAATATATTCATCAGGGTTTGGACAAGAGCATTTTCTAGAAAAAGCATGCCCCGTGAAGCTGTGATGTCCATTGCTGGCATAAAAATGAGTATAGAGTTTGTGGGGCAGCTGGATTCTAAAGATCCAAAACTGTTCAGCATTTGAGCCCATCTTGGTTTCTTTCACCCTCTTCCTTCTACAGCTGTTATCTCTACTGCTCCATCTGCCTCTCTCAGCAGGGTACTCTCTATCAGGTAGCAGCAAATGCTGCACTGGCTGCTGTTGGCCAGTGTCCATCAGCTTTGGTAAGGAGTGACTGTGCAGGCTGCTCACATCCGTTGAGGAACACCAAAGAACTGGATAAACATCTGCTCATCTCACCCTCCCTTCTCCACCCCCTACCTTGAGATTTCAGTTTAAAGCAGTACTTCATTTGTATTTGAACATTAGATCTGGTCTAATAAATAACTTTATTTAAAGCAAACAAACAAAACCCAGAAATGTCATACTTACTTTTAAAACACTTTTCCTTATTTTTCAAACAGCCACAGAAAACATCAAACATTTCAAAAAGTCAACTTCACATTAATAGAAAAGCAACTAAGAGCTGGTTACATGTTCTACTAAAATGATAAAGCAGTGAAAATATCAGATACACCAACTCGCCTGATTTCCTTAGAAATGAAGAAACATTGCATGCAAAATTAGTTACACATTGGCATAATGCTGCATTAATAACATGCAAGTTACATTATACTCATTTATATATACCTTATATTATCAACATAATACAATATATATGATATGTAGATAGGATATAGGAGTATATCTATAAATGTTTTTATATAATTGCATATGTATGTATTTAATATAATGCAAATTAAATAACATAGTCAACATATGCTTACTATGCATATTACATTAATTGTTATGTTAGTAAGATACTCATTTGTATACTGGGTAGAAATAGATTTTAATAAGCTTAAAGCAAACTAGAAATAGGAGCAGGGAAGGATCTGAAGGAAAATGAGAAATGGAGAATGGACTGACAAGAGATGATTAAACCAGCAGAGTTGCTTATTCCTTAATGCTTGAAGATAATGCAATTGTGCTTTATATTGAGAGAGTTAAAAGATCAGGAACAAGTCTGAAACTAAAGAACAATGATAGTGCTACAAGTAAAAAAGCATAACCACCCTTCAATAAATCTGAGCTGATAATTAAAATAAATTTTCTAATCACTGGAGAAATCAAGTTTTGAATGAAGTTTTCTGACAACAGTAGCGGGGACTTAAATCCCAGGGTTTGGCGAGCTTATAATCCAGGATCGCTGCCACTGGGATGGCCAGACACATGCGTACCGATGGCTGTACCTGCACAGATTTTTTTATGAAGTGGTTAACATGCACTGGTTCAAATGCTGTGTAACAAAGTTCATAGTTAAACCTGAAGTGGAAATCAGTTCTTAGATGTATTAGAATCTTCATATTATCTGTCTTTATTAATCCAGGATAATTTGCTCTTTTCCAGTGCTATCATGAAACCAGCAAATAACCTAATACCAAATACCTGGTGCTGTTTTCCAGTAATGATCATCATTCTGAGGACACAATCTTGCTCCATTTACTTCTTGTGATACACCAACATGGACAGAAACATGCTGCTTGAGAAACCCATTTGTACTGTATGTGTGCTTATCCAGCAGCTCCTAAAACATGTATCCAAAAATTCAAATGGAATTGTTGCTGTCTTGACATACACTTTAACTACATCATTTATTCCTCTGACTGCCCAGCGACACCCACTATCATGCATACACAGAATAGTATGAATTTTATCAAGAACTGTAAACAGAGTATTTCAACAAATTGTAGAATCACCACAATGTCACAATAACCTTGCCACTCCTTGTTTAACTTACTTTGTAAGACCACTTTTCCTACTTAAGAAAAAGGTGATTCCATTTTCAGTCACTGCATTTCAAACAGAACTTTAGATCACCAAATGGTAATAATCAGTAAATGATGATGATGAACAAACTGGTCTGAGCTAGTCCGACATACTGGGCAGCCAGTCTTCTCCCCCCACCTTTGAGTGGACACAAAATCATTGCTGTGAGCTGCATTTTCATAATGTTAACATTCAAATTGACACACCTATAGGTGTAGGAAAATAAACCTATTGCTCTGAAACAGTTCCTTTCTGACTGTTCAGCTTGATTCTAAGTGTCTCAGAAGGTACTTCCAAGACAAGTTTGCTTTGCAAAAGATACATTAGGATGCAAATAACAGTTCAAACTTTGCTCTATGTTTCCAAATTGCTCTACATAAGAGTAATGCCTTTATAGACTGTCATATTTTAAACTTTGGTGTGGCTTAAATATGTGCAATTATACATACAATTTGCTGTATTATGGAAAACCAATGCAAAACTTATTTAGTAAATTACTGATGAACGAGTTTCAGGGATGAGAACTCAGTAGAAAACTGGAGCATCAACTTTCTCCTTACCTGCTTAGTCTTTTTTCATTACCAGTTTGCATCTTAATTTTTATATTAGCAACTGAACTTTTGCTATACACCATGCCCATTCATTCCAAATGTAATAGCTTTGCTTGAGTCAAGATTTCCCACTCAGCAACTGGTTCACAGTATCTGTCCATCGACAATCTTAATCTGATGCATATTAATATTCTGGTAGCCTTTCGGATCATCATTGTACAATACTCAAAACTGGTCCTGAGTTGCCTATAATGATGCTCAGTGTTTTTCCTCTCTAGTCAATTACAGTCAACTTAGAATCCGTATCAGGCTTCTGGGCTTCCTTCAGCAAAATACATGTTTTTCATAAAG